TAAGGAAGCCCAGAATGATCTCTGGAACCCTGAGACACCATTTCACAGCCAGACTTTAGTCTCTATGCTTAGCAGAATCCACTTCTTCCAGATACAGGAAGGGAAAAGACTGGGAACAATTGTCTTATCCATTTTCCCCCATTCCTCAACCCTCCCCATCCTAATCAGTGGTCTAAATGGGTAAGCATCCTTCTCAACTATGAAAACATCATCAAAAACAAAAATTATTATACTAAAAAAGCTTAGCAAACATAGACTTTAAAAACCTTGTCAAGCAGTACACGTTTCTGTTAAGGTCTTACTTGTTTTTAAAAACTATGGATGAATAGTGAAAGCCAGGGGGGCTTTGACCTAATTGTGTCAATCATTATTACAGTCTGGAAGAACTGTGTTAAGTACTGGGGACCATAATCCTATTAAGAATCACCCAGAAAGCCGTTACTACCCACATTGCTGGCACCACTCCAAGAATTTTAGATTCAGTGGATTTGAGATGGACCCAAGAAAGTGAATTCCTAGGAAGTTATTGGGTGGTGCACATGAGCCTAGGAATGTCCTGGTACAGTTTTATAGGAGAAACCTCTGATGTAGGTATTTTCCTCCTGGAAAGGTAAAGGAACTGATATTGTAGGGTTTCTAGCATATTCCATTGAATATATCAGGTACTTTTGATGCAATGTCTTATTTAGGGGTCACAATAACCTTATGAATTCTATCCATTGTTACCCCCTTCATAGTGAACAAACCAAGGTTCAGGCAGGAAAACTGAGGTATGCCAAAATGTGCCATTAAAGGATGTCAGTTATTCCATTATTTACAACCCCATCAATTCTAAGTCATCCATTCTTAGATTGCATGTGGTAAAAGTCTGGCAAAGTGTGAATATCTTTTTTAAAGAAATATTTTTTATTAATTTGGAAGTCAAAAGCAAAAGATGGAGTGGGGTAGACAAAAAAAAAGAGAGATTCCATCTGCTGGTTCGCTACCCAAATGGCGACAACGGCCAGGGCTGGCCTGGACCTAAACCAAGAGCCTGTCACTCCATCTGGATCTGCCACATGGATGGTAAGGGCTAACGCTTTCCCAGTCAAATTAGCAAGGAGCTGGATCAGAAGTGAATGAGGTAAACATACAGCCTGAATTCAGAGTCATGGTGCATTGGACTCCAAAGGCTGAGAAACATCCCTGCAACCATTGCCTGTCCATTCTCTGACATCTACATGTGGAAACGACCAAAGCGCCTGAGTGTTTCTGTTAGTGCGTAAGACAGGCCCTCCTTACCTCCCTGTCTGTTCTACCTGCTCACTCTGCCTGCATTCCTTGCTCCTCCCCACCTGGGTAACTCCCACTCACTCTCAAATCCCAGCAAATAGTTTGCCTCAGCCGTGCAGATTTCTCTAACATCCCTTCTTACTAGAACAGGAATAACAAACCACTTTATATCTGCCCCAATATACTTTATATGGTTTAATTCCATCACACGCCCCAAACTCTCTGATTCTTTATTATCAACTACCCAAAGAACAGAACCAGAGTTTTCATTTAGACAACAAAGTCTCCCACTATATGACCCGGTTCACTTTTCAACAGCACCTTGCAGCTCCACCTTATGTCTCCAACCAAATGAGGCCAACACACTCTATTTCCTATCTGCAACAGCGCCCCTATCTTCCTGACTCTTTGCCCCACCCAGCCACTGAAGCACTCACACCATGTGTATTTGCATCTGACCTTTCCTTGAGTCACAGCCAAATTCCTGAGGTTATGTCCTCAGCCTTCCAGCCCTGGAGAGGGGCTGCACAGGCACTGATGGAATGAACACCTACCTAGCCCAGTGTTCCAACTGTGGTGTCACTTCCTCCTTGGATGAGGTGAGTGTAAGTGACTGAGTGACTTCCCCATGCTGGGAACTCATTCACCACAGTCCCCTTTGCACTGAATAGGTACTTGAGCAAACTTTTGTCAAATGAATGGATGGTGATGCTGGATAAAGGCTGTGGGTATGGAGGGGGTGAATTCATGTAGAACAGTGAATTCATGAGGAATGAACAGAGGATCTGTCACAAAATAAAGTAACATGCTTAAATGAGCAGCGGTGAATAGAGGGGACTGTTAGACTGCTTTTCTGTCATGCTTGACTTCATTCAAGAATCCTCAGTTTTTCTGCCTTTAAGCTAGTCTTCCAAAAAGCCCAAAGTCGTTCTCCATTTGAACGGTAAACATTTCATAGAACTCCTGCTTTTTCTGCAACATGTGACATTATTACGGAAAACATATACCAGGAAACACATCGTCCTCGCGTTCTAGATATTCCTGTACAATAAGTCAATACTAATAGTGAATGCAGATCCTAGCGGCATGTCCGCGGCAAAGCACGTGCCCTGACTTAAAAGTTCAACACCACTGACTTGCCGTCATGCCTCTGCAGCGTCACCTTCCTGGCAAGTTTTTTAAACATGGTGAGAGGTCTGATATTTCCCACAGAGAACAGTATTAAGGCTGGTGGTTGTGAAAGCCTTGCTTTAAGACGTAATTATGGAAAATTAAGGCCCAGTACCATAAATTCTAAGCGTGATAGAAGCTACTTTGCAAAGGTACCAAGGAATAGTTGCTATGTATAACTTGATTATCTTCTTGTTAAAAAATCACCAGTGCTCTTCACTAACACCTTGGAATGCAGGGCGAGCGTAGAATGTCTCAGGGCCAGTGTTGAACACGACTGTGACCTGCAGCAGGTAGAGCTTGTCTTCAGCTCCACAGCCTCTGGATGATAGTCCAAAGGCCCTGGGTCCCTGAACCTGTGTGAAAAACCCAGAAGAAGCTCCATTGTCCCAGCTTCAGATCAGCTCAACTCCCACCATTGCAGCCATCTGGGGAGTGAACCAGCAGATGGAAGATCATTTGGTCTGTCTCTCCTCTCTGTAAATTGGCCTTTCAAAAAAAAAATAAATAAATAAATCTGAAAAGAAATGCCTAAATTGAGAAAATTACCTGGCCCCCTGAATTAATGTTTATTCATTTGATAACATGAGGATAGAGGAGATAGGTCTGAAACTCTCTCAGCTTTCATTTGATTCTATTTCAAAATGGCTTTATTTGCTTCTGGCACTCTAATTCTTGTATCCTTCCCTCTCATCTTTGCTGCCGCCCACCCGAAGACCGAATGACACCAGAATATCGTAATGATCTCCCAGGACTTGCCATCTCTCAACAGATGGACAGCCTCAGTGGTACCCCTCACATAAAACAACAAAACGTACAGCTCGTTCTTAATCAAATCCAAACCACCATTTATGCTGCATAATGTAATATGGTTATAATTCCAAAGTTTGTCAAGCATTCCAAATGTAGCATTTCGCCTGAGTAAAAATGGAAGCAGATCTGGTGGAAGGTCAGTTGAAATGTTTCTTTATGGCATTATGCTGGGGGCATGAAAGGATGCTTATGCAATTAGCTATAATTCAGATGTAATTCAGGTTCAAAATGACTAATATGTGGTAATGTTCCAGGTTATCCATTTATTTCCACACTGCTGAACTCTCATTCTTCCTCCAAAACCCACATGAAATGTCACCTTTAATGAAGTGCCTCTGCACTTGCCAGCAAAGTCCATTAGTCCATTTTCCCTATCATCTCCCCACTTTTGCTGTAATGATCTCTGGCTTTATCCTCTTCTCTTAATAAACCTTCAGTTCATGGAAGGCACAAGCCACACCTTACTCATTTGTTCAACATCAACTCTAGTGGTATCCATCATACTGGCTTATTTGGTATCTTAGGGTGTAACTAGAAGTGTGTTTGGTCTTGAGCAAGCCATCAATCGTCTCAGTTTCTTTATAAAGTAGTAGTAAAAACACTTACTCTATCATAAGAGGGTTGAATTAGGTGTTGAACAGCCAAATACAGAGTCAACACATGGTTTTGTCTTAGTTTTAGTTTGTAAATGACACCAAAAATTATGACACCGGGGAGGGGAAGTAGAACATTCACAGTTCTGGCATCAAAAGCCAGTTCAGCCATTCACCAACTAAGCATTAAATAGCGATTTTAATGTCTCAGAGTTTGTTTCTTCATCTATAACCTGGGGATGCATAGATTTGAATGGATAAAGAAGAAAAACATGTGGAAAGTGCCTAGCCATAGCATCAGGCACATAATGGACATCTTATAAATGGTAATCTGTGTTGTTCTCATCTGTGATGGAGAATGAAAAAAAGCAACAGCAAAGTTACAAGTCCCTCTGCTTGTTCCTCGGTCTTCTTTGCTTCATGTATTCTGATGGAGATGAATCCATATTAACAGAGGCAATGTTTAATTGCCTCCTCATGGGTTAGACCTGTCCTGAGGCAGCAAATTATCATATTCTTTTTTGTCCCCTGAGGCTTCCAATGGGATGTGTCTGTTCTAATTTAATAAACCTGCCTTCCTAGTGCCTGATTCAAAGAGGCAATACCACATGCACGTTTCCAAATGCATAATTTGTATGAACACTCAAGCCCTTAATTGCATGGGGGAAGCAGTATGGGAGGGGCAGGTGTGTGTATCGGTTCATATTCATTTGAACGGACGCCAACCAAACTTCCACAGTTAATTGTGTCTCAGCAGTTTTCGCTTGGAAGAAATAATGAACACGCAGGCTTCTAACTGCCTTGTGGCCTTCGTTTGTTCCTGACTCTTGGGTTTGTGTTGTTTACAGTGCCATTTCTGCAGCAGTCACATAATTTATTGGGCACATGGAGCGCTCCTGCCAACTCCAAGCTGCCCTGCCTCACGCCCTTTCCATCTCAAGCTAGTCATTCCATTTCCTTCCCTGTGGTTCCAGAGCACACAGAAAATGGAAGATGTACATAATGGAAGCTTACTCTTTGAAAAAAAGAGTAAAAGCACAGTCAAGGTTTGGCTGAGAGTCTAACAGAGGGTGGGGAGCTTTTCACTCCACAAGACTTCTGAGTTGGCGCAGTGAGCCCCCAGGAACGTGATGGTCTTCCCTTTGTCTCCAGGTAATGCAGGTGGTGAAGGAGCAGGTTATGAGAGCGCTTACAACCAAGCCTAGCTCCCTGGACCAGTTCAAGAGCAAACTACAGAACCTGAGCTACACTGAGATCCTGAAAATCCGCCAGTCTGAGAGGATGAACCAGGAAGATTTCCAGTCTCGCCCAATTTTGTAAGTTGCCCTCTTCTGATCTCAGCTTGCCTTCACCATGTCAAGAGGGAGCACCCAGCAGGGCTGTGGGGCAAGGTTGTGAGGCAGGGCCAGCTGAAGATGTACCAGAATATCTTGATTCAGTTAGGGCAGGATCAGCAAACCCTTGAGGAAGCACTGGACTGGGTGGGCCAACCAGAAGTTGGGACTGGGTCCTGGCGAGATAGCACTAAGCCAGGAAGTGACCCAGTAAATGACAGCCCTCTAGAGATTTGTGACTTTTCAGGTACTGGTAATATAATATTTTACCCATGAAATTAGAGTCTACGTGGATACCCTTTGAGTGACAAGAAGCCATAATATGCCAACCAGAGTGGGGCCTACTGATAATTAAGGCAATAAGAACCCAGAACTGCTCTAAGGCAAGTGAATGGAAGTGAAAAGTTTGAGAGGGAAGGACTCCCCCCTCTCTTGGCCCTGAGTGCTGTCAGAGCATCTTGTCTCACCTTTCTGTAGACCTCCAGCTCTAAGGGGAGGATCCCCTTGTACAGGACGTCCATCAGATGCCACCTGCAGCCACCGCAGTTGTACGATCACTTAACGTATTCTGAGGCCCAAGCAGGGAGGCTATTGGCCTTGCTTCCCCTTTTCCTTTCGATGGTGTTCCCTTGTCCTTTTCTAATAGCCAGGTTGTTTTTTGTCACCCCTTGCATTTCATAGAGAAGGAAATAGGGAAAAGAGGAGTAGGAAAGGTATTTGTTGCTTATTCTCATTCAGTTTACAGAATGCGGGACACAGTGTTTTTTAAACTTGTGCAAAGCTGACTTGTAACACAACTTGGATTCTGGAGTCTTCCTCCCATGAGCCCTTCCCTGCCTCACTCTATTTCAAAATCTTTTCCTTTCTGAACCTCTCCCCGCTTCTTACTTTGTATATTTGGAAAATTTAAAGCCTGGGAAAGTACCCCTCATGCTATTAAATTCGCTTCCATCCCTAGGAGATAGATACAGCTTGCACCAATGCGAAGGCAAGGGTAGCGTGTAGAGGGATAAGGTCTTGCTAACAAGAGAAGGAGCCGGTACTAAAAGTCAGGTCTGCTGATCCTTGGGCTAATCTTTGTCCAGCCCACCAGAATTCCTTTGCTGTGTACAGGAGTGAAATGAGGTATGAAAAAGTGAACAGGTCAGAAAAGGCAATCTACTGTGGGTTTTAAAAAATTATGTTTTGCCATTTCTGGTCAGCATGTGATACTCTACATTTTCATGGGCTGCAATGCTGTGTTTTACAACATGTGTGTATAGTATAAACTGATCAAATCAGGTACCCAGCCTATCCGTGTTTTAATGTTTGCTTCGTGTCTGGAGCCTTCCAGTTGCTCTATTCCTCTTCTTTATGCAAAATAGGATACATTATTGTAAGCCATAATCACTGTATTGCAGTGCCATGGAGTTCTAGAATGCATTACTTCCTACGTGTTTGTTTTTAAATCTTGAACCGTTAGAACAGCATGCTTTAGCTGGCGTGTACATAGTCAGCCAGGAAGGAAATGCTCCCCAGAGGCTCTGGATTACATCGTGAAACCCAATTCACACCTGCGTGAGGAACAAGCCAACCTTGTGAGATGCCTCGCTGTGGTTTTTGCATCAGTCCTTAGCCAAGAGATGGTACTAGCCAGAAATACTGAGCAGAAAGTGCTTAGAGTGACTGACTCCTTGGAAACGTATTTTCTTATCTGTAACTAGAGACCAAAGCATCTTGCCCCATTCCAGAATCTGCAGTACTGAGAATCAGTGTTTTACCATGTCTGTTTTGACAGATGTGTCAACATAAAATACCTCATTTACTTCTGATATGAAACTGGAGGAGAGTTTGAGGAATCACTTCAGTTAAAGCCAAGTGGTTCTAAATGAGTATTGACCATGACTTTGTTCCAGAGTGAGCTTTCTGCTCCTGTTTGTGTCTGCATTTCCCAAAGCTTTGCCTGTGATGTTCTGCCATCTCTTTTCAAGAAACTTCCTTTCTTGAAGAAGTGTTTGTCTTTAGCTTTGCTATGGGTCAAAGGATAAACAAGGCAACTAAAAGGGAACTGGAGAACATGGCTTTTGTTTGACCTATCAGAACGCAGAGGCCTCCTGGAGTTCTGGCAACTCCGAGTGGCAGTGAGGTCTTAAGGAGCTGTTAGAAGCTGCTGAAATGCTTTGCAAGATTCCTGTGTTTAGTTGAAAGGCATAGTTACAGCAAGAGAGTGAGGGGAGGGAGAAGATCTTCCATCCGCTGGTTCACTCCTCAGGTGGTCTCAGAGCTGTAGGCAGGAGTGAAGAGCTTCATCTGGATAAGCCACATGGGTGCAGGCGTCCAAACACTGTCCCATCTCCTGCTGCTTCCCTTGGTGTATTAGCAGGAATCAGGCGGAGCAGCCAGGACTTGAACCAGTGCCCATATGGAATGCTCACATCACAAGTGGCAACTTAACTTACTGTGTCACACACAGCAGCCCCACTATGATTAAGCATGAATGTCAGGGACCAGCTTGTTCATTATCCCAGACTCTGAACTGGACAAGCAGGAGCTGGTGTATCTATTAGTGTAACTTTTTGTTCAGTGATATGTCTTATCTGTTAGTGTAGTCCATGAGACTGGAACACATGGTGGGTTGGATGACATCTAAATAATGCCAAAATGCATTAGGCATGTCTAAGTCAGGCTACAGGAAGGGTTTGTTTCTCTTTTCATCCATTCTTCGATTTAACAAACACAGCTTGAGCTATTCCTACATGCCAGCTCTGACCCAGGAGGCAAACAGAAGCCCACAGAAAGTCTCCTGTTGCTCCAGGCCCCAAAAGCTGGGATGAGGGAGAAGGACACTCCCAGACTATCCAGAGCTTGGTTCTAGAAAATGCAAGCACGTCTAGGAGCTGTATCTTACCCCAAGCATACATGCTGGGATTTGGGGGTTCTAGTGCTAGAACAGCAGCTTGAGGAGTTGGTCTCAAGCCCTTCATCCTGCAGCCAGGGGTGGCAGTTTTCCCGGGGTTTGATCACTGGCCATGGGGATGTCACTCTTGTTTCTGGACCCAGTGACAAACGTCAGTTACACATTTCACATGACCCCTCAAGTCACTAGGCCTGTTTTTGTTTTTGTTTGTTTGTTTATAAAATGGCGTGTCTCTTAAAAAAAAAAAAGAAGAAAAAACACGTAAGCTCCACGGGAATGATACTGGCAGGTGGAGGGAACATATACCTAGTGGGGTGAAGAAGAAGCTCGGCTTTATTTCCTAACCCTTGATTAATTATTTCAAAGAGGAGTTATTTGTTATTTCCTACTTAGTGTGACTTAACAAGGAAGATAAGTCCACACACACAGTTAATCTGAGTTAATGATTATAACAAGCTTGGCTGGTCCTGAAGTAGGTCATTTAGCCCATGTTGGAGAGAAAGGGAGATGCAAGGTCATATTTCCGGGAAGCAGAGAAGTGAAATGGGATGAAAGCTGGACCCAGAGGCTGCACACATCTCGGGGGAGAGTGTAGCACTATTGTGGACAGACTCCTGAGACAAGGTGGGCATCCCATCCTCAGCCGGCTCTTTTTGTCTCTCAAATGGAGACATCATTTTTGTATCATGTTTACAGGCTGCTACACGAAGTCCAGAAAGTATTATGGGCACCTCGCACAAACAAGTGATCACTCTACTACCAAAGAAACTAACAAATTGTTAAGTCAAGGATAAAATGGACACTATGGTTGTATCCACCTTAGCTTAGCACAGTAAAAAACAAAGAAATGATGGAAACGAGCAGAGTCATACATGAAGCTAATACCTACTCTGCCAGTTGACACCTCCATTGAAAACTGGCCACGTGCTTTGCTCAAAACCTCATAGCACCCACAGGACAATCTGGACACTTGTACATTTGTGAAAAGAAACTCATGTGTTGTTTAGTAATAAGGGAAAGTTTTGAGAAAGGTATTATATGGTTATTTCTTCATTGTGTCAGCATCATAGAATGCGCTTATGCAAACTAAGGCAATATAATCTTACAAGGCAACTAGTGTTTCTGTAGTGCATTGTTGACTAAAACATCATCGGGCAACATATCACTGTCTATACTGAGTGCTGCTGTGTGCTGGGCACTATTCTGTGAGTTGGCAACTCAGCACTGAACACAACAGACAAAATCCCCTGCCATGTACTTATAATATTGTAGTGGGGAGAAACAGACAATACAGCGTGAGTAAGATACATGTTAAGAGAGAATACATGCAGCGGAGAGAAACAGCAGGATAAGATCAGTGGAGTTCATAGCTTTTAATAGAATGATTGGAATATATTTCTCTAATCTGGTGATGACATTTAGCTGAAGATGTGTAAAGGAATAAGAGGACAGATTATGTGAAAGAATATTCCAGACAGAATAATCCAGTGCAAAGGTCCTGGAGTCAATCTTAGTGTTCAGTGAATAATACTAGTAATAATAGGGCCCGGCGCGGTAGCCTAGCGGCTACAGTCCTCAATTTGAACATGCCAGGATCCCAAATGGGCGTCCCTAATCCCAGCGGCACCTCCTTCCCAACCAGCTCCCTTGCTTATGGCCTGGGAAAGCAGTCAAGGACAACCCAAAGCCTTGGGACCCTGCACCCATGTAGGAGACCTGGAAAGAGGCTCTGGGCTCCTGGCTTTGTGTTGGCTTAGCTCCAGCAGTTGCGGCTGCTTGGGGAGGGAATCAATGGATGGATTTGCCTCTCTGTCTCTCCTCCTCTCTGTATATCTGACTTTGCAATAAAAATAAATGTTTTTTAAAAATAGTGACAATAGTGTTCAGTGTGGCTGGAGGGGCAATAATGCAGAGTTAGTAGAAATAGAAACCTTTTGGGCCCAGCGCAATAGTGGTTAAAGTCCTCGCCTTGCACACACCAGGATCCCATATGGGCACTGGTTCTGATTCCGGCAGCTCCACTTCCCATTCAGCTCCCTGCCTGTGGCCTGGGAAAGCAGTCGAGGATGGCCCAAAGCCTTGGGACCCTGCACCCTTGTGGGACACCCGGAAGAGGTTCCTGGATCCTGGCTTTGGATCAGCACAGCACTGGCTGTTGCAGTCACTTGGGGAGTGACTCATCAAATGGAAGATCTTCCTCTCTGTCTCTCCTCTCTGTGTATCTGACTTTGTAATAAAAATAAATCTTCAAAAAAAAAATAGGAACCTTTCAGGGGAACCACTGGAGAGGTTTTGAGCAAAGGGCTTGCATGATGTGTTAGGTTGGGAATAGACTGTCCATAGGCAAATTTGTAAGTGAGGAAACTGATTAGAAAGCTATTTCAATCATCTAAGTAACAGGTGATGGGAAGTGGTTAGTCTGCCTGTTAAGTTAGATAGATTTTGAAGATCAGAGACAAATCTGTTTCTGGATTGGTTAGAGGTGGAATGTAAGAAAAGAAATGGAAGACGAGTCCAGTGTCTTGGGCCTGAACAACAAAGAAGATGAGGAGCTTATCTTTGGATGGATGAAGGTGACAGCTATCTAAGCAACCAGTCAGACAAATGAGAGCTCTAGGTTGGAAGTATAAAATTGAGAACTGTCATCATAAAGTTGGTCTGTAATATAAGGAACAAAAGTAGCACAAATACTAAGCTCTCAAGCCCTGCAGTGTTGAGACAGAAATGATAGGTCAGTGCTCATGAAGTTGATACCCCTGCTCGGTCCAGAGTCCCAGTGATCCCTTCTCAGTCAAGGGTTGGCAAGCTGTGGCTCAAGAGCCACATAGGGCCCATTACCTGGGTCTGGAAATGATGCTGTGTCGGAGCAGCACCAGTTCACTGTGTGCACTGTGGATGGCTGCTGTCACTTTGCCTTGCAGAATTGAGTAGCCGAGACAACCACAGACTGTACAACCCGCAACACCTAGAACATTTCATACCTGGCCCTTTACAGCAACCTTTGCTGACTCGTGTTCTAGGTTAGCTGTGTAGGGCAATCTCCAAGTTGAACATGAACTCTCACCAATCTTGTAGTGTGTATAACCGTGACCCCTTTAGCCCTGGACTTGGAATAGTATTCCATAAGTAGTGGTAGACTTCCATTTGCTCCTCACACACTCTCATGCCCTCCTCCTTTAACCTTACTCCTTTTCCTTCTTTATATTGCCTTGGATAGAATTAGAAGGTCGTTCGTCACACAGACAGCTGTGTACCTGTGATCGAGTCCTCCTGATCGCATGCTGAGAATTTCAAACCCAGTTGCAGCTCATGGTGTCGCTGTCTGAATCGCCCCAGCAGAGTTGAGCTGCAGAAACATATTATAAGGGTTATTTACATTTTTTTACATGAGCTTCACCATTATTAAGTTCATTTACAAGGAAAGAAGAAATTCTTCAGAAAAAAAAAAGATAATGCTTCCCTGTGTGCTTCATTGCCTGAATTAGGGAATTGTCTTATAATCCTTTTACGTTCATAACATAAAAAGAGAAACAAAAAGTAACTCTTGCAGTGGCAGATTGACTTGGATAGAGCATCCCCAGAAGATGGCCTTGATACGGAGCGTGTCCCAGAGAGAACATTCGTGTCTCACATTAAAACACCATGATGCATAAATTAGATTAAACATGATGCTGAGAAGTTCCTACTGTTGGGCTTCCTGTATGTGTCATTCTCTCCTTCCCAGTAACTCAGACATGGTCTAGCAAAAACTCATATTTGGCAGCACCTCAATAATAACATAATAATACCAGAATCTTTTCTTAAGATTTATTTTATTTTTATTGCAAAGTCAGATACACAGAGAGGAGAAGAGACAGAGAGGAAGATCTTCTGCTATGGCCAGAGCTGTACCAACCCAACACCAGGAGCCAGGAGCTTCTTCTGGCTCTCCCATGCAGGTGCAGGATCCCAAGGCTTTGGGGCATCCTCAACTGCTTTCCCAGGCCACAGGCAGGGAGCTGGATGGAAGTGGAGCTGCCATGATTAGAACTGGCACCCAAATGGGATCCTGGTGCGTTCAAGGCGAGGAATTTAACCGCTAGGCTATCGCGCCAGGCCCAGAATGGTAGAATCTTAGAACCCCCTTCCAGTGTCTGCTTTGTTCTGTGGGGCAGCCCCTTCTTTCCTTCTCAATCTACTCACCTGAACCTGGAAGGTAAGAGCAGGGATTGACCACCCAGATACTCCCCCGCCTTCTCTATTCAGTGCAGCGTTCATCAAGCTGACGTTTCCCGAGTTCATTTTACAAGAACAGAATGCTGATAATAAATAGTGTTAGTGAGCTGAAAGCCTGAGATGGGAGACTAAGAGAATTGGGCAAGGAAGGCTTTTCATAGGCACGAATCTCTACTTTAAGTGTGACATTTCCATGCTATGATTTAGAAATGTTCAATTGGAACAGCATCAAGTATTAAAGGTACAAGAATATTGCTGGATGGCTGAGTCCTTTTTGGTGTTGTTTTTCTCTTTTCTCACATGTAATCCAAAGCTTGCAAAGGCAGCCCTGAATCTATACCGTGTACAACGCTTGAACCCCATTGGCTTGTTTCCCCATCTGTAAGATAAGAGTCATATTTTGGGATAGAGAAAAGTAATTGTTAAATGAGTTACAATTATGTAGGATAGTACCTGAGTCATGGCAGGAGCTCATCTAGTGTTAGTTGCTCCCCATCCTGGGGGCAAATGGCACCCTGTGTGAGAGCATATTGCCTGCAGTTTGGTGTCAGTATAAGTCCAAAGTTATGCCTGAAGTTGATTAATGTTGGGTCCTGGCTACAACGTTATAGGGGTATGTGGAGTGTTTTGCCCAAGGAAAGGACAGAATATCCCAAGCCAATTCCGAAAGACTGTGTTTGCTGCCCAGGACTTAACAGGGATCATGATTTGCACTGTCCTCTTTAGCAGGTGCTACAGCTTCCCATGAAACATTCTTATTCCCGTCGTCCAGCTGAGGACACTGACATGGAGGAGCTCCATGGAGCACTGCTCACGGGCAGAACCCAGACTGAAGTCTTCCGAGTGTTCCGAACACTCGTTGCTCGGGGAGGGCCGGGCTCTAATCTCTCTGTCCAGCTTCAGCTAGAACAACAGTGGGTTTATTAGATTCAAATGGTAGAATGCTACATAAACTTTCCAATGACAAAAGCCTCTGATGTCAGGGGAAAAAATAGATGCTTAAGCCACTGCACTCTATTATAATATCTTTGCAACACAGTGCCTGTGAAACTAAATTACATCGTGTTATCCTCAGACAAGATGCAAATATCCTCTAATTTATCCCATTATCGTCTCAACCTCTGTGGGCTGCAGTCTGGGATAGTGTTGTTCTGCCTATGTGTGAGTGAAGCAATCAGAAGCACAAAGCGGTCCCATGGCTTGCCCAATATCCCTGTTTGTTCAGATCCCAGGATGACAGGTGCAGCTAGGATTTACCTGCTGTGGGGGGAGTGAGGGTGCATAGGCAGGGATTTATTGTCTTTGCAGAGCTGGGTGAGTTTTTTCCCCTACGCTTAGAAGGTTTTATAAAATCAGAGAAGAAATCCCTCAAAACTCTTTGTGCTAGAAACACATCACTCAAGTGGCTGGTGCTTCTGTGGATATTCTGTAAATGTTACAGTCCATAGTGTTAATGTAACAGAACCATGGCCAAGGGCACTTTGGCAGGTGGGGCGTAGTGGGATGTTCATGAGAACATGGACATGTTCCAGCTGCCCATGATGCCTTCACCATCGCTGTTTCTCAAGGTGTGCTGTGGATTGTGTGTTTATCCCCCAACAGGGAACTAAAGGAGAAGATTCAGCCAGAAATCTTAGAGCTGATCAAACAGCAGCGCCTGAACCGCCTTGTGGAAGGTACTTGCTTCAGAAAACTCAATGCCCGGCGGAGACAAGGTAATGTTTGGGGCAACTCTCTGATTTGGGTAGGGTAGGTGGTGGCCAACCTGCTCCCAGGGGAATCACAGGACATGGTGTTCACATGACTTTTATCTGCGTGATCTCTGGTCCACATACCTCCCCAGAGAGAATCAAAAGTTCAGCATTACCAGAGCCATGATGGTAATGAAAAGCTGTGTTTGCCACTTGATGTCACAGAGCCATCAATGGTGATATCAGCATTAGCCTATGTGTAGCATAAGCCTATGAGATGCTATGTCCTTCGCTAGAAGTTTCACTTCTATGAGATACATTTAAAAGTTTGTGGGAAAATGGAACCAAAAGCTGTGTATTTGGGTGCAAAATTTTTTAAAAAAATGATTCCATGCATAGTTTGTTTATCAGGCACCTTGCCATGAACTTTCTGAACATACATTGCCACAGTGACTATGCCCAGTTTACAGGTAGGAAAATGGAGGTGCCCAAAGACACGGAAGAACAAGGATTTATCCTCCACTACTCCATGGCCCTTCTTCTCAGTGGTACTGAGCCTATAGGAAATCTGCCACCCACTGTGAGATTTATCTTGGAACTTTCTGCATGGGTAGCTGTTACTCTCAGAGCTTGCACACTGATTCTCTGCCTGGTCATAACCAGGTTATTTGGGGACATAATTAACAGTGAAGGAAGATGGGAAGAAATGAATTTTCGAACTATTTCAAGATGCATTTCTGAACAGTCTCTATTAAGTCTGATCTCAAAATGTCAGATGAAACTCTTGTCGGTAGTCTAATGTCACCCATGTTTCCAGATATTTTCTCACCATGGAAGAAAACCTCCTTGGGTGTAAAGCCATAGTGTTTGCATCACACTTCCCTAGAAACTGGCAGCCAGAAAATAAAACTGGGAAGGAAAGGGTGGATAGAGGTGAGGAGATGGAGAACGAGCCAGGAGAAAAAGGAGAAGGCTTTCCGGCTGCGCTGAGAACAGGCTCCTCTGGCAGCCCAGGGGAGCCATGGATCACGCCTGATGGATGTTGTGCTCAGACACGAAGCTCAGGCTCTGCTGACAAAATCACATTGTGATTGTGGTGAGCCCATCCCCCTATTCATCTCTCTTAACTTCTCAGTGCTAAATAACTCATTCCACTTGAAACATTTCAAATGTCATCACTAAGAATCACACTGAGGTGCTTCCAAAGGCAGAATCTTAGTGAGGAGTGACTGTTGGGGTTATGCAGAGAGAATGGGAAGCCCTGCAGATGAGCTTTAAAGTGAGCCTCCAGAAAGGCCAACACGCAGAAGAAATTAGGGCTGGGTTGAGGCTCAGGCCAAGGCATAGTGGGACTTGGAACTCGTCTCTGCCACACAGCCAGACAAGGAGTGTTTGCCTTCCTTTCTCTGCATTCTTCTAGCATCATGTCCATGTGAGCTGTGCTTCCAAAAAAGAGGGGGTGGCATAGTGGCAAGAGTCCAGATGGAGTGGGTACAGTCCTGCCTCTCCCCTGTCCAGCTGTGTGAGCTTGGGCGGGGTCAGAAATGGGGACAGCAGTGTCTATGGTTATTGCGAAGAAGAAAGGTGATGTGAGCGTGTCTCTTACTAGGGAGCTGTTACTATTCTGCAGGATTGTATAGGAACACTGCGGTGAGCTGACACTGAGTAGAATCGGCTGTAGGCTTCTAAGCTCTGTGATTAACCACCTAGGTGCCTTTGGACAGGACATACCATGAATCATATCACGAGTTCCCACAGGTAACTAGGCAGTTAGGTCCAGATGATCCACAAGGTCAGGAGGCCAGAAGTCCAGGCTGAGTATTCCTACTCTGAAAAGCCAATATTCAAAAGTTGTTTAGCACTTGCACTTTGCCTTAAATGGAAAAGCTATGCCATGGCATTTTGTTTCATACACAGACTTATGTACAATATATAAAATTACCTTTGGGACATGTATATAATGTATATAAGAAACGTAGGTGCATTTCATATGTGTGCTTGGGTCCCAACTCTGATAGAGATAATCTTGTATGTGCAAAGATTGTAGAAGTTCAAAACATCTGAAATCCAAACGTAGTTCACCTCCAAGGTATTTTAGATGAAGGATGCTCAACTTGCAGCCAGCTGCATGCCCTGATTACTTACTGCCTTTAGAAAAATCAATATTCAGATATATTGCACCCACAAAGGTGAGTTAGCAGGTTTTCAATTACTTCATATTGGAAAAGGGGTGCAGAAGTTTGAAAACAGTGGATGATAGATAGACCCAGACCACCCAAGGCCTCCTCCCCTGACGCCCAGCTAGGGTTTTTCAAAACGCATTTCCTAGAACCAAAGTTAGCTTTGCAGTCTACTCCACCATGAGCCTTCCCTTTCTAGACCACACGAGGTGGGTTCTATCCAAATAACTATTTCTAGGTACTAATTACAAGGAGGAGGTGTTTGCTTTTTTTGATAATTTTTTTCTCATTTTCTAAAATTGAGCTATTTAATCCAAAAATCAGTCTCTAGATAATAAATTTATTAATTGAGCTCTTGCAGGAGCATGGCTACCTGTGTTTAGTGTAAAATAATCTTTCTAAGTGCAGAAAGAAAGATTTTTTTTGTTTAAGATTTATGTTTTTACTTGAAAGGTAGATCTACAAAGGAAAAAAAGAAACAGAAAAAGAGGGCTCTTTCATCCGCTGGCTCACTCCCCAGAGGCCACAATGGCCAGAGCTGAGCCTATCGGAAGCCTGGAGCCAAGAGCTGCTTCCAGGTCCCCCACTTGGAAGACCCAAAGACTTGAGCCATCCTCTGTTGCTTTCCCAGACCGTAAGCAGGAAGCTGAATCAGAAGTAGAGCAGCTAGGACATGAACTTGCACCCATATGGGATGCCGGTGCTACAGGCACAGAATTGGCTTGCTGTGCCACCATACTAGATCCCAGAATTAGATTTTTAAGCACCGGATATAGATTACATTGGATTTCACATAGTTACTGCCTCCATTCTGTTCCCACTGTAAAGTACAAGGCTCTAAGAGCCTCTTTCTTCACTGCATATTGCTAAGATCAAATCCCAAGGAGTTATTTTGAATCTGTGGAGTCAAGAACTAACTCACTTTCAGAATCATTCACATCAAATGGTGCCCTAAGATAATGAAATGTCCTTTGAAGAAACAGTGGCATAAAACTGCTTCTGATTGAGAACTTGGCCAATTTCCTGAAGCAAAATCCCATTCCTAAATGTTGACCTAACAGATCTGTTTTGGGACCTAGTGCTGCACAAAACCTGAGGAATTTCCCTGAGGAAATTTCTGTGGATTTCCACTTGTGCCAGTGATGCCTCTGTATCCCCACTATTTTTATGGATGCATCAGAAAAGTAGATCTTGCGGGATGTGCAGGCACAGTGGCCGTGTACACCCAGGGGGAGGCATGCTCCTCCTGTCCCTGTTTCCTTCCTTGAATAAAAAGTGTCTTTTCATATTTCTTCCAACCTAATCAAAATCCATTTCTATCAAAAGATAAATAGAAGTAACTGCATATTTTTTTCAGATGAAGAAAGGCCAATTCATTTTCAGGTAGAAAAAAATAATACTTCCCAATCAATAAAAATAACAGATCATTGTTCCCAAAAGGTAGCGGAACCAGTAACATGAAGAAGAGGGTTCATTCAGTGAAAGAACAGGAGACATGAATATTTATAGAGAACCAGCCCTCGGAAAGATGCGTGATGGGATACATACATACAGTTATGACTGTTGCTTTATGAATCTAAGACCATGGATTCCTAAGCTTTTTAGCATGTGGCTATTGTCCCAGCTGATACAAGTGAGGGCCAGGTGTGTAGCACAAGTCTGTCAGGTCTGTGTGATTGCAAGGCACCATTAGGTCATCTCAACTTTGGAGTCACACGCTGTGAAAGGAGACAGCTGTCTCCAGGGAACTAGAAGTCGGGATTAGACATGAGTGTCTTGTCTGGAAGACTATCCAGGGAAGTGGGGAAGATTTGAAAGGTGAGAGTGACCTTGATCTGCACCTTTCATTGTGATTTCCCTTTACTGGATCAACAGGGAGACCTTGCATCTTATCATCTGCAAGGCGGAGTTTCCCAGTCCCTCCAGATGGAATCTGATTCGGATCTATGACCTTGGGCAGGAAGCAGACATTGTTCTGACCTGGGTGAAGACTTGGCACGATTTCAGTTAACCAGAACAAAAACTGAAATCCTAATGACAGTATTACAAAGACACAGTTTTCAAAAGCTGCTCTTTTCACTGTGTTACTTTATTCACAGAGAGAGAGAGAGAGAGAAGGGGAGGGAGGGAGGGAGAGAGGGGAAACAAATTAAAGCATAAAATTGTCTCTGTTGTTGAGTTTGGGCATGGAGAGATGACTATTACAGCGTTCTCACTCATAAATTTAACTAGAAGACCTCTGTATTTTTTGTTTTCTCCTTAAATTCTGGTAAGCAATCTTTGATAATGTTCTCACTGCTTCCCGCTAATTGCTTTCAGTGACGCAATCCACTCCTTCATTGCCCCAGGGCCCAAGGAACTAGTAACAGCATGCTGGGTTTTGAAAGAAAAATGCACATTTTTCTTCCCATAAAAGAAACGGAGAATGAAGCAGCCAGGCTTGGCTGACACTGGTGCTGCCTTGTCCCCTGATTCAGTGGGTTTGGGCTGGGCTGGGCTGCGCTAGGCTGGGCTGGACTGCAAGCTGTGCCTTCTTCCTCAGCAGTTCTTACCTTCCGGACAGAAACAAACCTTCTAGATGTGGGTGTCTGGCACAGCAGTCATGTCACCAGTTGGGACAACTTCAGCTGACATCAGAGTGCCTGGTTCCAGGCTCCTCTCCACTTCGGATCCAACTTTTCTGCTGCTGTTCTTCCTGGCATGCAGCAGCTGATGTCCAAGTACTTGAGTATCTGCCACGCTATGGGAGAACCAGATTGAATTTCAGGCTTCTGGCTTTGTTCTAGAGCCCAGCCTGTGCTGCTCAGGTTCATTTTGGGAAGGTTCTTCATAAGGGAAGGAGGAAATTATAGCATCTTTGCATCAGACAGATGTGACAGAGTCCTAGGCAGCCTTTCGTGTTTCTTTTTAACAAGCATCCACAGCAACGTTGCAGGAAAAGTGGCTGTGTCACCTCCCAGAGTCCTGAGGAAGTTCATGAACATCTCAGTTACTAATAGTTTGTCAACACAAGATGTTACACGAAACCTTTCCTGGGCCAGGTTTCCCTATAGCACAGGAAGTTGCTGGCTTGTTCCCACCCCACTTCCCAGAGCTCGGAGACAAGTGTTTCTGCCTTGTCTCTCTCAGCATCATCAAGAATGAAAAGAGATGCATTTTCCTGGGACTCCCTGGCTTTATCTCTCATGCCAGTGACTTTTTGCTGAATACACTAGAGTGCCATGTGGCTGTGTGCATCGTACACAGGGCATTGGAGAGATGCTGATACGGCACCCTCTGCACACCCCTTCCTCAAAATGCCTACTGCTAATTTGCTTAAAGGACTAGGTGACTTTCCCTCTGATTTCCAAAGGTATTTTAAACAGGACAGATGAAAACCAGGTATCAGAATCAAAGGGGAGTCATACTCCAGGGCTCTCGGATTCTTGCTGTCCTAAGACTTAAAAATCAAATGCATTGCTTCTTTCTTAAAAGAATTAAGAAATAACCAGGCTAGTATTTTGAAATCCAAAATTGCTTATCTTGTCCTCTTATGTTTTTTCCCCCTCAGATAAGTTTTGGTATTGTCGGCTTTCACCAAACCACAAGGTCCTGCATTATGGAGACCTGGAAGAAAGTCCACAGGGAGAAGTGCCCCACGACTCCTTGCAGGACAAACGTGAGTGTCCTAATTGTAATACACCGTGCCCCAATGCTGTCAGCCTGGAGTTGGACATTTGGCCTAGTGGTTAGGATGCTACTTGAGATGCCTGCGTCCTATATTCGAGTGTCTGCTTTTGATCTCAGCTCTGCCTCCAATTCCAGCTTCCTTCCAATCACACCAGCAGTTGGATCCAAGCCATTCCTGTGGGAAAACCCAGACTGAGTTTTGGCTCCTGGTTTCAGCCTAGCCTAGTCATGGGTGGTACAGGGAATGAGCCCACCTCTAGGATATCCCTACTGCCCATATCTCATTCTCAAATATAGAGAAAGTTAAAATATTCTTAACTATTAGTTCAATTAAACCTTTCGCAGTGTGTCATCTTGTTGTTAGTCTTGGCCTGAGCATTCTTATCAAGTACAAGGCCATGTTTGAGAATGAACAGAGGACAACATCCTAAGATGTTCAGACATCATTCCTGAAAATTGCCAACTTCAAACTCCAACATTGACTGGCTCACTATTGTAGACATCTAGAGCTGGGCCATACAGAAAGCTGGAGTCAGGAACTCCATCAGAATCTCCCATGTGGGTGTCAGGAACCCAAGTCTTTGAACCGTCACCTGCTGCCTTCCAAGGCACAGAGGCAGGAAGCCATGTCAGGAACACAGGAGCTGGGATGTAGGCCGCCTGAGTGATGGCTTAACTTGCTGTACCGCAACGCCTACACCAACATCCACTGCTATGTTACTAACCAGGAGCTATTCCAAGAAGCAAAAATAATATAAACCTGATTCAGTCAATCATCTTCTTTAATGACCAAAGAAAAAATTTTATGTAACTTATGTTTTTTGACCTCTATCATGTTTATTCATTGCGGTGTTGTGCATCTGATAGTTTTAATGCAGAGTGATGGCAGATTCTGATGACTTATTGCCCTCAAAGAAGTAACTCAAATACTTTGAAAAGTCTGTGATTACTTATATCCTGCTATCCACTATAAATTCCCACAACATTTACTATATGTATATATTTGCATCTTCTGTGTGTGTTCTGTTTTAGCATGTATGCTTCTGAAGGAGAGGCAGTTCCCACCTACCTTCTCCATCTCTGCCTTCTCTACCTGCACTATCCTCAGAGGCATGATTCACTTTATCTCATTTATTTTCCAAATCAATTCATCACACTTGTTCATTTCCATGTTTCCATAGTACCTTGTTTGATTTAATATTTAACATTGAAGCTGGCAGGTGGCATACTGTTGGGCTAAAAGAATCCTGAGGGACGCTTCAGTCTAACCTTTAAAATGACATTGACCTGCAGTGTTCAGAGAAGCGTGTCCTAGACAGCCCTTAGGCCTGAGTCTCGCACCTGTCACCCAGAACCCCTGGAAGTCAAATTTGGACTGCTTTCCCTACAGCTCATGGACACTGAAGGTGAAAATAAACCCTAAGTGGGAAATTTCCTAAGATTCAAGCTCCAGGTTGACATCTCAGGCAGACAGCATGGAACATTCTCTCTTCTTCCAGTTTAAAAATGGGACAAGCTGGTCTTTGTAGTGTCATTTAGCTTAGAAAGCGACCTCGTTTCCAGCATAGGGCACCTGCCTTCCCAACCCTCATTACTGGCAACAAGAGTAGAAGGGAGACCAATCTGAAATCCACACTGTAGTGTGGATTTTGCATCCTTGTCATGGAGGCTTTGACATCTGCCTATAGATAAGACCCTCCTTTCAGGTATAGAAAACCCTCACCTTCCCACCTTAGGCAAAAGAGACCCCTCATCCTCTTATGTATGGTCCCCAGACCACTAACATTGGTATCACCTGGGAACTTAATAAAGTTGGAAATCCTGGGACCCCACACCCAAATCCGCTGAGTCAGCGGATCTGAGCATGGCCAAAACAATGTGTGTTTTCATAGCCCTCTTGGCAGTTCTGATGCACACTCAAGTTGGAGAACTGCTAGGGTGAATGCTGCATAATAGGCCACATAGTTCCCCAAATGTAATTTTTCTACCAGTAAGCATTTTTTAAATATATGAATTGACAAGACATTGCCAAATTTTAGTTTTGACTTAAATGGATATTGAAACAAACTCTGAAATTTATTATTACCAACTTTTTTTTATAAAAGGAAAGACTTTGATCCTAAAAACATAAAAATAAGGACTTAATCTTGGAATATGTAACAATTCCTTATGCTTTGTGAAAAACACAACACCAAGTCCTTATCTTCCTTCACTCGCAATTAATTGGTGAATACTTTCAAGTGAGAATTTTGTGCCAGGAATCTTCCATCCATGTGGAATGGGCAATCTTGGAGGTTAAATGAGAAAAGTTAGAGATTATTCCTAGTCAAAATAAGCAGTTTCCTGGGCCCAGCACAGTGGCATTGCAGCTGAAGTCTTCACCATGAACGCGCTGGGATCCCATATGGGCGCCAGTTCTAATCCCCGCAGCTCCACTTCCTGTCCAACTCCCTGCTGGTGGCCTGGGAAAGCAGTCGAGGACAACCCAAAGCCCTGGGACCCTGCACCCACATGGGAGACCCGGAAGAGGCTCCTGGCTTGGCTAGCCCCTGAACTTTGTGTAGGAGTAATTCCTAGGCTTGTTCACAGCCATGCCAGCTCCCCCAAGTGCCAAAAGCTCAGGCTGGGACTGACTATCTGGGTCTCAGCAGCACCCAGAGACATGGCTTGCCAGGGCAATTTGCACAGGAGCAAGGTCAAAGCTGCCATGGTCCACATGGCTTTGACAGTGGCCACAGAGAGATCCTGATTCTAGAGCAGGTTAAGCCAGTCACTCGGGGCACGGCCTCCAAAACCCTTTCCTCTGTGATCTTTGAAATTAGGAATACAAAAATCCCAAAAACCTGTTCCATAACTCTTCTTCCCATTGCAAAGTAAATCAAGAATATATGCTTCACAAGTACGTGCATATGGGAGTGTGAGTCTGTGCCCGTGCATTGCTGAGAATGGATTCATCCATACACACATGCCAGAGAAGAGACTGCGTTCAATAAGCAAGTGAAATGAAGATGCCATAGTTTGCTTGAAATGAGAAGGCCTAGGCCCAAGATCAGTATTCATTCACAGCTTCAAACCTGCTGCCTGGTTTGCATCTAATTTCAATTGTGCATTTTACCTGGAGGGGAAAAAAAAAGCATCCTTGTAGAACCTTCAGTAAGAAACCTCATTCCACTAGAAAATAAGATGTCCCTTTAATTAATGTTAAGTGCCACTGTGTTCGCCACATGTGACTGCCCTCTCTTGAGACCAAGCACAAAATTATCTCCCACCCCTTGAGTTAATCATGGATGAATATTGAGATATCGATGAATCAAATAGTGGAATTGAATCCTCTTCATACAAGCCAGTGCAAGGGAAGACTGGAAGCTTCTCCTTAGCAAGGTTTCCCCTCAACATTTAGGAAATATAGCTTCTCAAATTCCTTCTGTTTGTTGGGAAATAAAGCCCTTGAAAACACTCTGCATGTCTTCCACCCCGTTTATAGGCTGTTCTCGCCCCCACTAAACACAAGACTCCATTGCTTTGCAGCCTCAGGCCCCTCCCTGCCACCCTTTGAAAGAATCTAGGCCAGTGCCTCTCCATCCCACATCAAAGGGACTGGGAGGGACGCACAGGCCACCCCCGCCTCCATAAGGAGATTAAGTCAGTGGCTAGCAGTAGATGAGCCGAGCAGCTGACACAGCGAGGCAAAGTGAGCAATTTGGGTCATTGATGCCCGGTGAGAAATTTGCATCCGTCTGTCTTCATAGAATCAACTAGAAAAAGGATCATCAAAAAGTTCATGGAAAATGTACTTTATGAATGTCAAGATTTTTTGCACCAAAATAAATTTAGGACTAAATTCCACATTCTGCTAATTTTTTGAAGTATCTTCATAATTACAAATCACATTGTGAGCATGAAATATGCTAGGTACTATGCTAAGGGCTTTACATAAGCTATCTTCTCAACAGAAGAAAGCAACATCATTGCCCTGATTTTACTGACAAGGAAACTGAGCTACAGAAAGAGGAAATAACTTGCTCAAGGGCACAGATCAGTAAACGATAGAGCAAAGATCTGAACACAGCGATTCTACTCCAGGGCCAAGATTTTCACCCACTGTGGAGCAGACACCGGTTAGCATGGTCACATCCCAAATCAAAGTAACTGGCATTAGTTCTTGTCTCTGGGCCTTGACTTTCACTTCTGACAAGTGCAGAGTCTGGGAGGCTTGAGGGCCTGGATTCCTGCTAACCATATGGGAGGTGAGAATAGAGTCCCTGGCCCAACTCCGGTCCCTGCAGACATTTGGAGCATGAACCAACAGAGGGGAGTAATACACTCATTCATTTTCTCTCTCTCTCTTTCTCTAACCACCCTCTCCCTCTCTTCTTACTATTCCCTGTCTCTGCCTCTCAAACAGAAATAAATTTAAAATATTTTTAAAGCCAACAATGATCTTGGCTTCAACCTTAGGAGGTAATTTTCAGAAAAAAAAATATCTCGAATGATAGTATTATCTTTTGTTACTTGCATGGAACCTGAGATTCTGAGAGCTTACACTCCAACTGGTAGGACAGTTGGTAAATCTCTTAACACCAGAGGCACAGCCCTACCAATAAATGCATGCTGCATGCCCTACCTGTCAGAGCAGTGAGATTTTGCACTCACCATGCTGCGAGGTTGCCATCCCACCTGCACAGCTCCACACTGGTGCTTCTTTGGAATCATGCACACAATCAGTGCTCTAGGCTCACTGGCCACTTTCCGGGGATGGTTTCTGCCTGAAATTGAATTCCACCGGTGGTGGCTACATGTTCTCTTTTTTCAATGGACTTTTTTTTTCCTGTTCAAGTTACATTTTTTCCCACATATCTTAGCAATAGAAGAATTTCCTGAACATGTCTGGAGCCAGACAAGCGTGTGTGCGATTGTTTCTCATGACTCCTTTTCCCTTCCAAATCCTAGACATGGAATGGAAGAAAGCATGAAACCCAGCTTTTTCCTTCACATTATCAAGTTTAAATGCTTTGTTTAAACATCTGTCATTCCATCCATAAAATAACAACATTGAATCAAAATGGTCTCACTCCAACTCAGGCTTAAAATTTGGTAGAATGAAGCCAGACCCCCAGGAAGTCGGCGTGGTAATAGAGATTCCTCCCCCACCCCTATTCTCCTGTCTCTGGACCCCACAATTTTATCTTGCTCCTCTGTAAAAATAAATGATCAAAATGCTGACTTGGCTTTGAAATCCTCAAGAGCCCCTGCTGCCTCTTCACAGAGTAGATTTGAGAGGTGTGCACCTGACCTTTCTGTGCCTACTCCTGGAACTACAGAAGCATTTTAGCTTTCCGCCTCTAATCTTCCAGTGCATCTAGAGACAAACCATGTTAAGAAAAAAAAGCAGCCTTTAACTCTGCACTGTATTTTTAGGATGAGTGATAGAGCAGCTTGTCCCCTAATGGGACGCAGAACATATATAAAGCATGAAATATCTACTACCACCAAACCCAGCAGAAAAGTGCCTTTTCTTCCCTGAAGCCTTCCTATTAGAGATCTGACAACTGACCCCAGGACAGATGTTTGTTATCACATTTGTCCTGTTCCACACGATGGGTTTTCAAAGCCAAGAGGCAACTTCCTATTTATTCCTGATAGATGCACTTTACGGGGTCATTGGCCACATGATATATTCTAACAAAAGACTTTCTACAAGGAACTTGTGATTCAAACTTCATTTGAAGATTAAAGTTTGTTCATTGACTTTGCTAATTATATCTCAAAATCACTTCAATGGTACATTTTTCATTAAAACATTAACCACCTTCCCAAGTGTCCAAATGTTCCCTCTTAAGGTAGTGAATTGGGTAGACAGGTCAGCTGAAAAGGGAAGTGGGACCAATCTGAGATTACTGAGCATGGATTTGCAGAGAACAGAGGTCCATTTTCTTGGCTAAAAGTTGGCCCAGGAGTCAAAGGAACCACCTCCAGACAGGCTCTGAGTTGAAGAGGCTAGAGAAGAAAAACAGAAAAGGGAGTCTTAGGTAAAAGTTTCCACAAATCTAAACACTGTGCTGCTGTACTATGGAGCCAGCCCCAAGATCCCAGTGGTTTGAGCATGACAGAAGCTCACTTCTCACCCATATCATGCGCCTTGCACAGGCTGGCAGAGGTTTGCTGCACACAGTCAGGAACATGGACCACTTTGCCATCCCACAGCTAGACTATCTAGATACAGTATACCTTCCATTCCCCCATCTGAGGGGAGAGAGGTTGGAAGACATAGACTTAGCATTGACGTCCCCTAAAAAAGTATATATCACATCCTTTCACATGTCACTGGTCAGAATCAGTCACGTGACTATGTAACTGTAGAGCTTTTACAGGAGTCCTCCGTGCAGCCAAAAGATGAAAGTAAGACATTCCTGACATTCTAGAATCAGCTGCAGGCTGGAGGAGCAGGTGTTGTGGAGGAAGCAGGGGAGCCTGCAGAGACGCTGGAGGAACCGGTCGCAATCCCCCTCCTCTTAGGGTTACAGAGAACTTAGGAATCCCAATAGAATCAGATATTTTAGGGTGCCTGGAAAATGTTTGCTTTTAGAGGGTTTCCATTTCTTTTATTCTAATAGTTTGTTAATTTAATCTTCATCACACCTACAGCCTAATGTTCCAGTAAAATTATGTTAAGATTAGCTATAAAATCTCTAATTATATTCATCATCCAAAGAGCCTAAGGAATAGATTATTCAGGCATTTACAAAAGCCTAAATTCCCACCCGATGAAGCCAAGTAAGATAGTACATGCTCCTAGATTCACAATCCCATGTGGGATTTAAGAACTGGGAGTTAGAGAGGGATAGATGACTTTGCATTTTGTAAGTTAAATTTCCAAACTCTCCTACTGCTCCCCCCCCCCTTTATATCAACAAGAGTTTTAAATGCACAAACCTCTACATATCTTTTCTCATCCTCCTCCAAGTCCTGAGAAGCACAGAAGATAACATCATTTTATCTAACTGCATTATTTAAGAATCCCCTGTCAGGAAGCAAGGTTCCCTTTATGGAACTTAGTTTAGTTTCACAGCCTGTAAAGTCAGGATAATAGAATATCCTTCTCAGAATTGTGAGAATTAATCAGATGGTTGAGGCTTTGGAGAGTGAAATCGAAACAGTTTAGAATCAAATTTTTGAGATAAGACTGCTTCCCCTTACTTGTCCAAACTCAGAAACTGAATAGATGCAGATGATGTAGCAAGACACACTAATGCGTATGAATCACTTGCCGTACCTTCTGGCGCCCAAAAGTCCTTCGGTAATATCATTAACATCACTGTTGACTGTTACTGTTATCAGTTACTGCTCTAATGCATCACTCCCAACATGTTTAGAGTATAATTTAGAAGAAAAAATTATTTCTTTTTATTGGAAAGGCAGATCATATTTACGGAGAGAAGGAAAGACAAAGCTCTTCCATCTGCTGGTTCACTCCCCGAATGGCCTAAATGACCCCAGCTGAGCCAATCCAAAGCCAGGAACCAGGAGTTTCTTCCAAATGTCCCACATGGATGCAAAGTCCCAGGGCTTTGGGCCATCCTTCACTACTTTCCCAGGCCATAAGCAGGGAGCTTTTCAGGAAATGGAACAGCCGTGATACAAATCTGCACCCATACAGGGGATACTGGTGTGTGCAAGGCAAGGATTTAGCCACTGAGCCATTGCACCAAATCCTAGGCTGTTATTATTTTTAAATCTTTGTTTTAAACCAACTCTACTTATAGCTCTTTCTCTCCAAGAATACTTTTTCCCACATATAAGAATGTTCCTCAAATGGTGGTAGCCCCCCAAAATGGATCATAAGCTGACAATACATTTGGGTCAAAAATGCATTTACCATACCTAAGTTACCAGTCATCATAGCCTAACAACAAGTCATATCATAGAATACATTTTGTTTCCTCATGATGTCATGATCTGTTGGGAACTGCACTCACTCCCGTTGCTCTGCGTCTCTGAAAGAAGATTGTACCACATCACATTAGCCTTGGGGAAGGACCGGAATTCAGAATGTAAAGTGTAATGTCTACAAAATGCATAACTGGTTTTGCACTGTTGTGAAGTTGAACCACCTTGAGTCAAAGACCCCGTCTGTTTTCATTTCTTCTCTAGAATGCCATCTCACGTCTCAGCCCCTTTTCACCGCTCTTCTCTTTACGCAGTTCCTGAGAGCGGCAGCTGTGGCAACATCTTCATAGATACCTAAGTGTTCAAGGGTGTGCTTACTTCCATTTCCTTTTATGAATTGCAGTGCCGGTGGCAGATATCAAAGCTGTCGTGACGGGAAAGGACTGCCCCCATATGAAAGAGAAAGGTGCCCTTAAACAAAACAAGGTATGATTTCCAAATTACTGCAAATCGTTCTGTCTTCGCAGTGCAGCGAGTGACTTTGATGGCCCTCCGTTACAGCATTGTGTGTGCATGTGTGTATGTTTAGTTGCACATCTCTTATGCAGCTTTGCCTTGTTTGCCTGATTCATTTTGCAGCCTTTACCCTGATTCTTTCCCTGAATGTTTTTCAGGTTCTCACTGTCTCTTCCATTCTCCCACTTCCTGTCTGTCTCCACCCACCCCATAGGAGCTGTTATCTCTGGTATTTCAAGCCTCCTAAGTTCCTTACTTACATCCTTCTCCTATCCCAACCTGTTGCTGTTTATTTCTCCTTTCCCTTCTCCCACTCCAATCTCTTTATTTTCTCTTGCTAAAATCATTCCATACTAGCATTGCTTTGGTCTCCATGAAGCCCGGAATGGGCAAGGATCAGCTGATTTAAACAATCACAGGATATAAATGAGGTGGATATTTTTCAGAACCATGGACAGTAAAATGGTGAACCATCTCTGATCTGGCTCAAAAAGGAGAAAATTTCCCCAAATGCGCATGCTGTTGAAGCCCCCTTCCCTTTGCAGCCTTCCTTACCATCCCCCTCCTGGTTTATCAACTCACTGTCATCAAGACAGTCCCATTCTGTCACAGAGGGTCTAGTCTGGGGGATTGGGGATTAGGGTACATTATCTTGAAAGATAGAATTTCCTTGCCCCCTAGTTTACTGAAATTTAGCCTTGAGAGACCATCAGGGAGGCAACTACTTGCTTAGATCTCCTGGCATCTTGTGACAAACAAACCATCCATGGTATATATCCTTTTTTATCCGGATGTTCCAGATGCCTTGGTACTCCAAATGACACACAGATCAACAATTATTCTGCATTTCCTGCCTTGTATCTAAAAAGAAAACCAAAATAATGCACATCCTACTTATCAATCAGGATTAAAAGAAACAGCACCCTTATCTGTAATTCTGTCCAGCTCTTTTCAGATGGCCCTATCTTTGTTCAGAGTGACAGAGTAGGAGACACAGCCAAGGGGGCTGCTTTCAATATCTGTGCTTCTTCAGTTACATAAATATGACTCACCTCACATCCACCAAATGCCTTCTATGTTAGGGCTGTCACAACCACAGGATTCAAACCACTTAAATAATAAGCGTAAAGATGGAAAGACCTGCCTAAATAACCAGGATCTACAGGTAATGTGTTACACAGCACCTCTAGGGGGTTTCACTTCTGTCTTCTCTATGATGGGGGACCCAGTGATTGTCAGGCTCATGAGGTTCCATAGGGAGGATCCCTCACCATAGCAGCAAGCCCCCAGTTTCCACAGTTTGCCTCTTATGGGGCCAACTTACGGCAGTACCAGCAGGGATCGCCATATGCTCCACATGTCAGGTGTTCCCTCCACAGAGAGCTCCTTACGGGGGTGGGACTGTGCTCAGCTCCAACCTAGGTCTCTGGGATTATCTGACACTTGCAGCTGAACAGGAAAGAACTTGGGCAAATGTGTAACAACACAAATCTTTAACTCTGAGAAGGTGAGGACAGAACTGGGGGTGAAGCAGCCTTGCAGGGCCCAAGCACCCTGGCTAGGGTCTGCCTGGGAAAGCAGTCAAGGAAAGCCCAAAGATTTTGGACCCTGCACCCTTGTGGGAGGCCTGGTAGAGGCTCCAGGCCCCTGGTTTCGGATTGGCAAAGGCCAGAAGTGGTGGCCTAGCAGCTAAAGTCCTTGCCTTGAACATGCTGGGATTCCTTACAGTCACTGGTTCTAATCCCGGTGACCCTGCTTCCCATCCAACTCCCTGTTTGAGGCCCAGCATAGCATTTGAGGACAGCCCAAAACCTTGAGACCCTGCTCCCGTGTGGGAGACCTGAAAGAAGCTCCTGGCTTCAGATTAGCTCAGCTCCGATTGTTGCGGCCACTTGGGGAGTGAATCAACAGACGGAAGATCTTCTCTCTCTCTCCTCAGTATATCTGACTGTCCAATAAAAATAAATCTTTAAAAAGAAAAAGAAGTATGCTAAAGCCTTCCTAAGAAAGTCCTGCTTTCCAGGATTTTATCCCAATTAGGAGATTGCAGAGCATGTTGGCCCTCCTGTCTCAACGGTAGGATTGGAGGTGGGGAAGACATGGTAAAGAACCCTCAGGCTCTCGAGGCAATTGATTGGAAACTGCAGCCAGGTAAAAGGGTTGGAGACAGATGCATAAATCTGTGCTACTGGGGAACTCTTGAGAAGGTCCAGCATACGAGACCCCGGAAGTATAGAGTTCACCAGAAGATTACAGATTTTTGAACCTCTCCCATGCCCTACCATCACTCCAGCAAAACTCCCAAATTAGAGACAGTGGATTAGAGCCAAAAGATCTTCAGAGACCTCATAGTCAAAGAGAAAGGAGCAGACTAGAGCCATGTAAAGACTGTGGCCCTTACTACTAGGGTAAACATAAATATAACCCAAATCATCGCCAGTTTAATACAAATCCTCTCTCTAGAGGTTTATTTGTCTTACTTCCTGTTATGTTCCTACATAATCTAGATATATCTAGAAGATATCTAGATTGCAGGAGTTATGTAGAGGCATTCCAGAACAGTAATACAGAAATACAGTCTGAAAACAAAGTTATCATAAGAATTAGGCTGCAGAAATTGAAACTGTAAGAGAATTTAAAATAGTTACGATTAATAGTTACGATTAGATAGCTCTAATGAAAAAAGTAGATAGGATACAGGAACAAGTCGGTCATGTAAGAATAGAGATGGAAATCTGGAATTTAAGTTGACAAACAACAGAAATGAAAAATGGGTTTGATGGCCTCATCAGTAGACTTGAGATGGCTGAATAAATAAATGAGTTTGGGTGTGGTTTGGTAGAAACATCCTAAACTAAAACACAGAAAGAAAAAGATGAATAAATTAGATCAGGACATTAAACAATTATGAGATGGTTGCAAAGGCATGACATGTGTGTTCCTGGAAGAACAGAGGAAGAGGAGAATGGAACAGCATATATACCAAAACAATAATGGCCAAGAACTTGCCAGAACTGATAATAGAGATCAAATCATAGATCCAGGAAGTTTGCAGGACTCCAAGGTGAATAAAAATGACAAAAACACACTTAGACAGGTCATGTCCAGACTGGAAAAAACAAACTTGACAATCTTGAAATAAACCAGAGAGAAAACACACATTTCCAATAGATCAATAAAGATGAGAATTAGAGTGGACTTCAACCAAAACTAAGCAAGCAAGAAGATAATGCAATTATTATATTTAAAATGTTAAAAACAACCAACATAGAATTCCATATTTAATGCAATTACTCTTCCAACATGAAGGAAAATTAAATTAAAACGAGGGAATTTATTGCCAGCAGACATGCTCTGTAGGAAATATTAAGAAAATTTCTTCAGCCAAAAAGAAAATGATATCTGTCAGAAGCCTGCATCCATATAAAGATTATTGCAGAAAAAAAGTAAATGAAGGTAAAATGAAAATATTAATTCTTACTGTAAATTCTTTAAAAACTACTCTTCGTTTAAAATAATAATGCTGGGGTAAGCATTTCACCTAGTGATTAAAATGCCCCTTAAGATGCCGTTATCCCGTATAGAATTCTTGGCTTTGATACCTGGCTCCAGCATGATGCATCATGCTAGTGGAAACCCTTGAAGGCAGCAGTAGTGGCTTAAACAACAGAGTTCCTGTCACCCGCAGTTTGAGTTTTCTGCTCCTGGCTTAAGCCTGACCCAACTATGACCACTGTGGGCATTTGGAAAGTGAAGCAGTGGATAGGAGCATGCAATAGTTCATTCTCATTCTTTCTCTCTCTCTAATGCATAAAAGCAAAAAGAAAATAGTAACAATAAGACTGTATCAGATGGTTAAAGCACACTAGTAAATGAAATAAGATGTATTTGTAAAGTATTCAAGTTTTTAACAACAGAAAACAAAACAAAAGAAATACAAGAAATAGGAAATAGTACAAATGTGGTCCTGTTACTCTAACTTAAAATATAAATAATCTAACCACCTTGAAGAGCAAGATTGTTAGACTGAATAGAGTAACAGGATCCCCCATTTTAAATGTTAGATAAGGCCAACTGGAAAACAATGAAATGGAGAAAGACATGCCACAAGATGTATCAAATGAAAAGTGAAATACCTATGTTAATTTCAGACAAGTTGGTCTTCAAATTAAAGAGGGTTATCAAAGGCACAAGTATCCAACAACACCTATTACTTTTATTTTACTTTTATTGGAAAGATTTGCAGAGAGGATGAGAGACACAGAGGTAGATCTTCCATCCTCTGATTCACTCCCCAAGCATCCACAATGGCCAGAGCTGCACCAATCCGAAGCCAGGAGCTTCCTCTGGTTCTGGCAAATGAGTGCAGGGTCCCAAGGCTTTGGGCTGTCCTTGACTGCATTCCCAGGCCGCAAGCAGGGAGCTGGATGGCCACCGGGAACTTAAACCAGCACCCATATAGAATCCTTGTACATACAAGGCGAGGATTTAGTCCTGAGGCTGCCATGCTGGATCCAAGACCTATTGTTCTTAAACATACATAGACTTAAGGAAAAAGCATCAAGACACATGAATTTAAAAACCTCCAGAATTGAGGGAAGAAATAGATAATTCCATTATTATATTGAAAACATCAACATCCCTCTTCGGTGATCAATAGATCAAGCAAGCAGAAAATCAGAAAGGACAGTTGATGTCCTGAAAGCACCATCAATCAACCTGACCCAAGTGACATTAATAAAATAATGTACCAAAAAACAATAGAATTCTCAAGATCACAGAAATCATTCACCAAGAGAGACTACCCTCTGGATGATAAACAAATTTAAAAGAACAGCAATCATACAAAGTATGTTCTGAGATCACAATAGAATTACTCTAAAAATTATCTCTTAGTGTTTATTTATTTTAAAGGCAGAGCAACAGAGAAAGGGAGGGATGGAGGAAACATAGGAGGCAGGGAAAGAGTG